TCTCTGATATTTTTAAATTTCATCTTTGAAACTGAGGAGAATGGTTTGGATGCAGAAAACCAAAAACTATGAATATAATACTAGCCTTCAAAGCATGACAGAGGCAAGGGGGGAGGGTTGTAAAAATAGTACTGAATATATACTATGGCAGAACAAAATAATGTTGGCAACTCTACCTCACTTTCAATAAGAGGTTTTCATTTTTCATAATTTTCGATGAGGATAATTTTTTCCACCTTTCTGCGAAATCAAATTGATTTAAAATTTGGTTGATAAAGGAAAATACTTGCTTCACATTCCTTTCATACCTTCTTCTCTGGTATTTTTAATCTTATCTTCGAATGGGGGTTTGGATGCGGGAGTCTTACCTTTCTGCGAAATCAAATTGATTTAAAATTTGGTTGATAAAGGAAAATACTTGCTTCACATTCCTTTCATACCTTCTTCTCTGGTATTTTTAATCTTATCTTCGAATGGGGGGGGGGGGGGGAGGGATAAGGTGTGATCATCGGGGGGAAATCCGGCGTCACACGTTCCATAGTTTAGTAGATAAGAGGACGACGAAGTTGGCCTGAACCGCTTTTCGCCTGTTATTTCTTCTTTTGAAGTGCTGCGCTGTTTTGTGGACTAACACGGAATACGGTGCCAAACAGAAAAAATGTTTCTTTATTCGTGCGTGGATGCAGTGCTGGGAATGATTTGGAAGTGCAGATTTCCCTTCGTTTTTTTTGTGTCAATATTTTTCCGTCAATATGTATATATCTCGAGGCAAGGTTTTGATTTCCATTCGAAAGTGTGTTTCCCACACGACGTGCACTCAATGTTTTTAGGGATTACTGTATCATCTTCTTGACAGTGTTGGCAATTCTTTTTCTTTCATTTTGCACTAAAAGAGCTTCTAATTTACTGAATTGGCAGATTTTTTTGCAGCTGATCCAGGTGGACTATTTCTACAATGATCTTGCATGCAGCGATTTTCTCTGCATCTTTATATAAATTTTTTAAATAGAAAACAAAAGAGTTTTCTCCCCGTGTTTTAGGGGCAGTTCTTGACAATGTTATTCACTCTACAACGAATTTTTTGTGGTCCTCAAAATTTTGTTGTAGGGAGAGTCCACGTGTATTTCATTTTTGATTTGAAAAGCAAGAAAATCTATGTGTTAGTCATCGACTTTGGATATGGGGATTTCTACAACTTATTAACATATTTTCTGCTGGCGGTAATGTATTTGAATCTACTGCATTTAAAAATTGTGTCATCACAATAAAAAGGAGGTTCTGACTTGCATCCCAATTCAAATATTGGTTGATTATTTTATAACAATTTTGAATTTATGAATGAATGAATGAACAGAACACTTTATTTGTAAAGCACAAACCAATGACAAAAACAAAAGAGAACACACTCCACAAAATAAAACTGGACATCCAGACTCATATGCATACACACACCCATCCCCCAATATTGAAGACAAAGCAGCAGTAAAAGTTTATTTAAAGCACGAGGTCTTCAGCCTGCTTCTGGTATGAGTTTTAGTTGAATGAAAAATTTAGAGAGTTGAATTTACTTTCAGCAATTCTTAGTTGAACCTCTCTAAGTCAAATTTCAAGGCACCAGCAAAAAACTCAACTTAGGGAGGTTTTGATTTAAATAACTGTTTGACCTATGGGATGAATCATTTTTATCAGGAAAAATGTTAAAGACTTGCATTAAATTGTACATGGTGATATTCTTTGCCTTAGATTGCTTCTTAAGTGAGTTGAAAGGGTGCTGAACTTGGAGACATGGGTTCATTTGCCCAATTTAGTCTATCACATACTTTCAAAGCACATCAAATTTCAGTTTTTATTGTTTTTCCTTTCTGTTTCAATAGAATAATTGCAAAAAGGCCTAACAAATTTTGAATTATGGAGATTTTAGAGGAAAACCCTTCTATTTAAGGTGGTTTTTAATGCATTGTTTCTGAAAATATCCAGGCAGGGACTTGAAAATAATTTGATCTCAGAGGTGTGTGACTTATTAGAGAGGTTTGACTTGGCAAGGTTCAGTTCACATGTATTGTGGGGGACAGAGGTCGCCAGCCTCGCAAAAGTACGAGATCCACGTTGGAATTCCAGCGGGGAATTCCAACGTGGACCAGTTTTGATTCAGCCTCCATTTTCTCTTTTCCTATTTCTATACAGTCTCAGTTTGCTTCGCGAGCAGTAAACATCTATTTTACAACTTTGTGATTCAAAATATATTTGTTATCTTTTGCCTTTTGGAGCTCTTACCGAGGAGCTCCCTGCCGTGTTCCCCGGCGGTGTTTGTGTTTCATTTTTCGCCATTCATTTTTTATCTTTCCACATTTTCCAACCTAACTTGCATTCTTTGTGGCCTGTGCGCCACATGTATTTCTATGCTTCTATGAGCAACTTAGGTATTCTATATGACACCATGGTTTCAGCAATGATTGGCCAAGTTTAACTCCTTGAATTCACAAGGATGCTCTATTATGATTAATCTTCTAATTCCACTTGCATTTTGACATTTTTTATGAATCTCCTGACAAATCCTGCATCTTAAATGTTGAGAAATTTTAGGAAATGTTGAGCAAGAGAAAAATAAACAATCATATTCAAATACGGGGTTTTCTTTAATGTTATGTATCCCTGATTTTTATTTTTATTTAAAAATGAAGTTATCATCTTGAAAATGGAAAAATTCTAAAATTTCATGCCTACAGGAAACTCCAAATCTCTGTATATTTACAGAAGATGTTAAAAATTCTAATGAGGACGAAAGGGTTACAACTAAAACGCCCAAAAAATTGCCTGAAAAAAATAAGGAAACACTAAAAATTGTGTTTTAGGCAATAATAAGGAACAAACTCTCCTTATATATACCTTATAAGGCATATTATATTATGAAAAGGCAAGAAAATTTGCAGGAAAACCCCGAATCTGACTCTTGGCAACACTGGATCCCCATATATATCATCCCTACCAACTTCTTTTTCCCCCTCACCACTATATAGAACCTGACACAGAATCTGTGATGCATTCCTTCAACGTCATTGGTCCCCCCTCGACACACCGTCGACAGTGTCGAACAATTTTTTTAAACTCTGGGTCCCAAAAATTGTATTTTTCTCTCAATCTTTCAATTTTTTTTTTCAAAAACCCAGCATCGTGTTCTTCAAAATCCCGCGAATTTCTACGCTTTTTTTTTTGCGGTTCCTTTTCATATGATTGAGGGATTCATCCGTTCGCCGGCAAACGTGTGGTTGCATTTCCTGGTCTCAGAACTCGAGACTGTTCCTTTTGTTTCGTCCTTCCGCGTTTTTATTTATATTTTTTTATTGCGTGTGTGTGTGTGTGGAGTGGTATATAACAGTGAAACTTTTCATTCGTTTCTCTCGATCCTCTTATCATTCTCTCTAACTTTCCTTTCGGATCTCATTCGTGTAATGATGGAAACTGAGAAGAGTATATGAGAGGGGAACTCGGGGATTTATCTAGGAACTGTTATTGGTGACGGAAGCTGCTTTTGCACGAACGTGGCCCAGATAAAAACGAGCATCGTTTTCCCAAAAAAATGTTTTTTCTTCTCTGTGGTTCCCGGTGGATTCACGAAGGGATTTTTGAGGTTTTCATCCATTGGTACAATTTACAGATGGAATAAAAAATTACATACATGTATTACCCTCAAGAAATCGGGAGCGAATTTTTTTTTCTCGGGGATTTTTGTGTGATATAACGTGTTTCTTCGAAATTTATTTTATTTTATGTATATTTTCAATTTATGTTTTGGATTTCTGCCCCATGCGGAGTGAATAGATGATGTAATCAGTTCATGTTTAAAAATCTGATTAAAATTTAAAGTATGTGGATGAAGACCCAAATGTGTGCTGAATGATTTTGCGGTGTAGAAAGAATAATTTTGTNTTTCTGCCCCATGCGGAGTGAATAGATGATGTAATCAGTTCATGTTTAAAAATCTGATTAAAATTTAAAGTATGTGGATGAAGACCCAAATGTGTGCTGAATGATTTTGCGGTGTAGAAAGAATAATTTTGTAAAATCGTCATCGAGATTTCCAGGGGCTGAATTTTAATGTTTGCTCATTGTCAGTTCTCTAAAAATTTTGAAACAATTTTAAACCACGTTAATACATTCAACTGCATGCAAAAATAATTTTAAAAAGTTTTCTCCTTCATAGTTTAAAAAAATGCCTGTGAAATGCTAATATTCATGATGCATTGGCAAAATAATCTACGCAAAAAAAGAGGATTATAGGAAAATCAGGTAAATTCAATCTTGCATAAATTTTCATCCTTGAAGTACTGGAATATCTTTGCAAAATCACACTTGACCTGATAGATCAGAAATTATTTTTACACTATAATAAGACATTTAATTTATGCTGGCACTGATAATAAATGTGATCCTGGATAAAGGACATGATAAATTTTTTTTGCACAATGGACTTTAAGTGATTGCCATCACTGGAAGTTACAAGTCGTTTATTATACCCAGCTTATTCATGTAATAAACCTCATTCAAAATTATTTTCCTCATCCAGAAAAATTAAATTTATTGTCGTGAGAAATGCGAGATAATACAGTTTAAATTTTTTTTGTGTTGAAATTATAGATAAAAGCTTATCTCGTATCGCTGATTGTGCACGCGTAGCAGATGATATAAGGAGTGAGACTACCTTTGAAGAAGAACAGTAAAAAAGTATTTAATAATGTTTACGACATTTCATATCAACGAATTAATAAAATAAAGCTCTTATTTTTCTTATTTAATCGCGTCGAATGAATTCGATCCGTGTCCTACGACATCATCTACTTCATTTATTTTGGCCAAACTATTGAATGGTCCTGTGCAGATTTTTGTAACATTTTTTTTTCTCTGAAACTGTGCAATTATTTTGTCAAGTTGCCTTGGTGGTCGGCTTGTCCTACGACATCATCTACTTCATTTATTTTGGCCAAACTATTGAATGGTCCTGTGCAGATTTTTGTAACATTTTTTTTTCTCTGAAACTGTGCAATTATTTTGTCAAGTTGCCTTGGTGGTCGGCGAGAAGAATGGAGAAGGCGGTGGTTGTTTGTGTGGCTCTTTTTTGCGTGCTGTTCGCGTTTGTGAATGCGGATGACGCCGAAACCGTGAGTGATATATTTTCATTTTTTCGCATCTTGATTTCAACATTTTGAATACTGCGTCAAAATCATCCAAAAAGCTTTGCATCGAATCATATCTCATAAACAAGAATAAATAAGGAGGAATCGAAATGACGGGGTTGACATGAAAATTATACGGTGACGACCAGCAAAAAAGAAACCCGTTTTCTTTGAAAATAAATATTTGGTTCAACGCAAAAAAAATTTACTGTGCTTCTTCACTAACAGTCAATTTTACTAAAAAACGTCTGAGATGAAATTTACCTGGAAAGGATGCCTGCATCAATTTTTTGAGGCATTACACGAATAAATTTTGATCCACGTGTGTTTAAAAGTTGTGCCAATTTTAACTTTCTTGCAAGATGTTACGTTTATAATGAGGCAAAATTCGACGGTTTTGGCAACTAATTATCAGCTAGGAATATACTACATAAATTTATGCCCAAAGATTTGAATGGACAGCAGACTTCATTTAGTTTTTGAATAAACGCATTAGACAGGAAGTACAGTAATTAATTTTAGCGCATTTGATCTTCAGATGTTTCTTCGAATCTATATTATTCAGTTTATCAACACATTCAAGGTACAGTATAAGCTTTATTCTATTTGAATATTTCAAACAAAAATCGAAATTCGTTTATTTCAAAAGATGGAACCCCGGAAAAAAATTGACGCGTTTTGAAGCAGAAACTATTTTCTGCGATTCAAATAATTGCACAGAAAACGAAACTCAACACCAGAATTTCTCAAAATATCTTCCCGAAGCTTTCAAATGTTCTGGTATTCATTGAAATGATGAAATCAGAACAAATTCATGAAAAAATTCCTGGTCAAAAAATGGTCATGTAATTTTTTAGCACACATTTCAAAATTTTTTTAAAACAACGATTGTCCCGATTCTACGCACCTTTGAGAAACTCACTAACATTCACTCAAATGTACCATTTTATTTTCTCGTTTGAATGACGCATCGGAGAAAATTGAGAAATTTTTGAAATATTCATGAGCATGCAAATTTTTTTTCAGTTCTGCAATTAAAGAGAAGAAGAACGATGCAAACGTTGCAGGGAAACTTTTTTGCTATTTTTCAGAACAGCAGATTAATTTTTAGAATTATTGTCGCCATTTTCTTTAATATCTAACCTACAAATAAAGCATTTTTTCGATTTTCTTTCCGTTTTAATCTTTTTGAAAAATTAGCAGTCCCTCGAAAATTCGTGAAATTTTCGGCGGAAAACATTAAGATAAAAAAATTACTTTGTTTTTAATTAAGGAGATCACATTTCGGGAAATATTTGCTTCGATTTGAAGAATCCTATGCTGGTCAGATGATCGATTCATTCACGAAATCCATGAATCGAGAAATTTTTGAAATATTCATGAGAATGCAATTTTTTTGTTCAGTTCTGCAATTAAAGAGAAGAAGAACGATGCAACGTTGCATGGAAACTTTTTTGCTATTTTTCAGAACAGCAGATTAATTTGTAGAAATATTTTTGCCATTTTCTTTAATATCTAACCTGCTGCAAATAAAGCATTTTTTCGATTTTCTTTTTGAAAAATTAGCAGTCCCTCGAAAATTCGTGAAATTTTCGGCGGAAAACATTAATACAAAAAATTACTTTGTTTCTAATTGAGGACATCACATTTCGGGAAATATTTGCTTCGATTTGAAGAATCCTATGCTGGTCAGATGATCGATTCATGCACGAAATCCCGCGTCTTTTTCCGAGATGCCAATGAAATTTTTTTTTCAACAATTTTAAATAATAAATGATTGACTATAAATGTGGAGGCTGTGAAAGAACCCGGGCCGCAGGCAACAACCTCAATAACAACGACGTCTGAGGCGTCGAAAACAACCCGACGCTCGGCCCGGGCATCGACTCGCCAAAAGCCCAACTTCGCCCACCAGGCCAGTCATCACCAGACCGCGAGACAGATGGCGCCAGCGGATGAATCTCAACTCGCCGACCAGCAAGCAACGACACCTGGCGACGCGGACCCGAACACTGCCACGGTCACGACTACCAAAGCAGGCCCCGTGGTGCCTCCAGGCAAAGAAGTGACCAGCAAAAAGCCCATCAAGATCCCGAATGCCACCACAACTGAAGGGAACAGCAGCAATAATGGAACCACCAGCACTGATGTTTGTGATAATAATTTGTGGTTCTTCTGTGGGGGAAAAAAAAACCGCGTGGCACCTGTTGGTGGCTCCATGCTGTGCACACCCATATAACTCCACAGCAGTTGCACTCTCAGAGCCAAACTAAATCACTTACTCAGTGCTGGGATGATGTATACTTCAGCACCAGTTTGGGCACTAGGAAGTTTGGTTCTCAAATGGAACCACCAACACCACAGCAGATGTCTGTGGTTAATGGTTATTACAGGAAAAAGTTCTGGCACCTCCTGTCTTTGTGCTCGTCTAACATCACTGAGGCATGTACCGTTATTGGGTGTAGGATGGGGTGAAAGAGTCATGTCATGTAATATAGTCACGGAAGGTTGGAAAAACGCGGACGTCTGACCGTTTAAAGATATTTTATAAAACGTCTGACCTCTCGTAAAGAATGACATCTTTTGAGGACCAGCAAAGTTTCAAAAATGTTTGCTGACTCAAAAATGTATTGTTTGAAAGACTTTATGGCTCAGACTGGCAAATTTCTATAAAATATTTTGCAGACTGGAGAGCATTTCTATGACATCTTTTGAGGACCAGCAAAGTTTCAAAAATGTTTGCTGACTCAAAAATGTATTGTTTGAAAGACTTTATGGCTGGTACCTGAAAATTTCCTCCTCTTTTGAACAAATTAATTTAAGAACAAATAAAGCAGCTTTACTACAATGTCTTCAATAATTACAAAAAGGTAGGCTTAAGGAAAGGTTTCTCAGAATGAAAAATTGAAATAATTTATTTCAGCAGGTGAAAAGTATAGTTGGGAGAAAAGCCAACCTTTATTTTCCATCAAATAATTCCAACTGCCATTGTCTTTCAAAAAATTTCAGGTAAATATAACAAATTCAATTGCAACTTTTTATATATTTATTCTGCTGAAGAAAATTCCCTGCAGACCAGCAAACAATTCTGCAGACCATAAGTTGGGGAACACTCCATTATATCCAATGGTACTGCTGTTTAACCAAATAAAGTGGAGCCTATTTTGGGGCATCAGAAATCATATTTTTGAGCAACCAAACCAAGAATGCTTGGTGGTCACTACAAACTCCTGAAAAAACATCTATCTTTGGAGACTACCGTGGTCGACCATGTATCAGAAGTGTTAGTAGATTAAAGACTGACTCGAGTCTTTGAACTGTGGTTTACCTTGAGAATCCCTAGCTCATGATGGGATACACTTCAATACAGTGCTGTACAAACGTTGGAATCCATGTTATGGAACAATCACCACCCACTACCTAGTGCATTGAAGTTTGTGGTTCTTTCTGATGCCTATTAGGAAAATCCTCCTTGTGGCACCAATTGGTAGTTTTGTCTGCACATGCATCCAAGGTCACACTCAAACAACACCAAACTAATCCTTTTCTTGCATGCTGGAAAAAGAACTTCAGCCAAATGTTGCTTTCATACAGATGACAAAATCATCTATGGAATTCAAAAGAAACATTCTGTGACATTGAATGACACTCTATTTGAATCAATTTTCCTCTTTTTCTATAAAGGGAACATCAGCATCCAGTGGTCAGAGAGTGGAAGTGTCAGACTCAGATGTAACCTTGCAAAATCAAATTTACATTTTGTCTGGGGTATTTGGAGCTCTGGGACTGATTCAGTTCCTGGTCCTCATTTCCCTTGCAGTGGCTTTGTCCAGGTTTGTATTTCACATACTGTGATTTTTGATTCAGGAAAGAAAAAAATAAAATTTTGGGTGGAAGGATGATGAGAATGTGTCAACTTGCGGTTCTAAAATAAATTTAAAAAATAAAATATTGCATCTGGAATGCTTTGGGAGTGCAGTGAGAAACAAGATTGGAGATTTACATAAGAAATTTTGAATGCAAAGTTAAACTGTATATATATATATATACATATATAATGCGCAATAATTTCAAATTTTTTAAAAGCAGTAGTAATTAAGTCACTGTAAGTAGGCTTATATATTATATATATATATATATATATGTAAGTAAGCTTATATATATATATATATATATATACTGTATATGTGAGTAGGTTGTGTAAGTAGGTTGTATATTCATATATATATATTTATATATATATATATGTAAGTAGGCTTATATATATATATATATAAGCCTACTTACAGTGACTTACTACTGCTTTTAAAAAATTTGAAATTATTGCGCATTACAGGAATCAGCATTTCACTTGCCAAATTCAATCAGCTCTATATATAATCCTATTTTTGAATTCTAACTCAAACTCTGAAAAACTTTCAGTTTCAAACTCCTTTAAATTTTAAGGGAACCACTGCAATTCAACTATTTTTTTGGCTGATAATAAGTATTACTAAGATATGATAAGCAAAATAATAATAATAATCCTTGTTCCCCAGATTCATACTTTGTTTTGCTTTCTTGCAGTGTGAATGCCAAATTGAGGCAGTTGCAGCTAGACATGAAGCCTTCATTTGGCACATTGAACAGGGGTTACATGCAGCCTGAAATGGAAATGAGTGGCCTTGGTAACCCTGGTTTGGACGAACTGGAGGCAAGGTATCAACAGCAAAGTCCAATTGGGTAAGTTTATCATTCAGGATATAAATCATGCCTCGAATTTATTTGCAGTAAATTGAAAAAAAAAATCCCAATTTTCTAGACATTCACAATTGGTTTCAGAGGGTGATACTTGAAAAACTTGAATTTGAGGTTTGTCTCGATTCTTTTTTTTCTGCATCACAGGAACAGAGGGGACTTTAATGGTTTTGGCTCATCACCATCAATGGGAATGCCAGGCTCAAGACCACCAGGGTTCCCCAGGGCCCATTGGGTCGGGGATCGGGTCTCTCGCAACTACACCTGAGCAATTTATTACCCCAAGACTCAATTCTCAGGCTTTACGCTTGTTTTGACACTGCAAAAAAAAAATTCTCCTTGAACAATTTTCCGAGCCAATTTCAATTTTCAAGTCACCGGTCAACAAAAAGAGAAACATTCTGTTCCCCCGCCTTAATTTTTCAGCCCAACCGAGTGCAAGACGCATGTTTGCAAGGTGAAAACGTATACTCAAGTCTGGAGCCAAAGTTTGCATGCGGATCTTTTGTAAATATCGATTTCCTTCTAGAGATCAAAAGCAAGCCCAATTTGACCTGCATGGTGTTTTTTTTCTGGACAAATGCTGTGAGAGATAATTTGAGAAAGTATTCATTTATTATTTTGCCTGCGAATTTTGAACAAGGGAAATGGCAGCAACTAATCGGTTTCAGAAAAAAGAAAAATCCGCCTTTTTTATTTCTTGCACGTGGGGGGGATTAAATAATAAAACCTTTTTTTCATTTTCTTAAGTCTTCAAGCAATGCTGTCAAAGAAGAACATGTGTGCCAAGTTTACAATTGACATGATGAGCTCAACATTGGGCATAGCAGCAAAACCCTGCATGAGTCTGATGTACTCAGATGTTGTCTCAATGGCTGCTGGCACTTGATCAAAATGGCCACTCTCAACAGCAGCAATGGAAGCCAAAGAAGCGGCTTTAGACTGTGAGAGATCACTGGCAAAAGAGCCAAGGTGCTCTTTGCATTCAGGGCAGGTGAAGTCCAGGATGTCATGCAGCTCTTTGACATTGGCAAGAGCTGCTGTGCACTTGGGACACTGGAACCCTCCTGAAAGCTGAGGAGGAGCTGAGGGGTCAGGAAAGGCTGAAAGTTGGTGAGGACCGGTGTACCCGTAGAAGACTTGGTCCGGTGATCTACTTTTTCTTTTTTTTTAGTTCAAGTCTTTACAGTTTTAGTTTTAAAACACAAAGAATCTTTTATTCTGGATTTAATTCATTGAACCCAACTCTTTGAACATTGGATCAAATACCAGCCTGTGCCCTTGGGTAAGTCTTGCACTTACAATTTTGGGTTTAAAATTGGAGAAAATTCAATTCTTGATGAGTGCATGCCCACATGATGTGCTATTGAAACCATATAAAAACAAATAACATGAATTGTTGACCTGAATTGAAAGTAGGTATATAAGTGGCTTTTAACTGTGTCAGAATTTCCCTCAGTTTCATTAGTTTTCAACAATCACTTTGGCTAAAAGCAATTTACTATATTATGATCTATATATGAAGTGTTGGTAGCAATATGCATGCAAGTTCTGAATAACCATCTTCCTAAAAATTGCACAGTATTGGCAACATTATCCCTTTATTATATAAGTCTTGCACCTTCAATTGTTTCGAATTTTAAACCTATTTTCGGAAAAGAACTCGTTATTTACTGGGTTCAAAAGAACGACTTTTTAACCTTGAGTAGTTTTTTGGATAGTTTTAAAATTATACTAGACCTTAACTTTGACGTAAGAATTGCTTTTACATCAAATTCAATACTTGTAAGTTTCAAATTTTCAATAAGGTCAGTATCTTAGAATATGCTCACTTTCAACAAATATATTTCAACTAAATGAAAGAAGTTGCTTACGCTTTATGCTAAAAAGGGTACTTTCCAGTAAATCTTTAATTTACATATTGAAACCATATTTAAGAAAGACTCCTCTTTTTTTTAAAGCAGGATTAGAAGATAAACAAAAATTTCATCTCACTGCATCTCAATGGGATCCAGTTGGATAAGTTTGTCTTCCAGAAGGTAAAACTGGTTGTTTTGAGAATAAGCAGCAACATCTGAGCCAGCAACTGGCCTCACTTCACTTGCCAAAACCCCAGCATAGGGTTCTGTGACCTTGTTTTCAACCACTGCAAAACATACAAGACTTCTGTCAACAACAAAAATCTTGGAAAAAAGCATGTGAAACGCACAGCCTTCAGGAGATTCTTCTTCAGATTCAGGCTCTGACTCCTCAGAATCAGATTCCTTGCATTCTGTAGAAACTGTGTAATCAGAGTCTTCCCCAGCTTCATTAGTTTCACTCTTGCATGTTTTCTCAGTCATGAAGTTCTTCAGAGATCCCCAGTGTCCAACACATGCTTTACAGTTACACTTGAAATGGAAGCCATTTTCCAAAAAGTCTTGCCTCCTGGCAAGGTTATCAGAATGGAAGGAAACCCCATAAGAAACAGTTGCAGCTTCACCAGGATTGATGACTTGATTAGCCCTCACAATCAAAGTCCCATTGACAAAGTAATGAGTGAGGTTGGGGAAACATGAGTGATTAAGGTAGCAACCAGCATTGTACAGGTTTGTGGCAACAGGTAGGGTACTTGCCTGTGGAAAAAGGCATTTCTTCTTGGAAAATATTTTTTAAAAATGCAGTCTTGACTCTTGACTCACAATGTATGGAGGTTCTTCAGAAAGGACAACTTCAGATGATGTGAAATAATTGCACAAGAATGACAGCATGTTCTGATACAACAAAGTCCCAACAAACAGTTGCACCTCATCAGTGTTATGTTCCTTGAAGTAGCCAGAATGTTGAAGACACTTGGTCAAGAAAGCTGCAGATTTGGCAGTCTGGAGTTTTTGATGAGGATTCATCTCAGCATTGTGTGTGAGCAGGTCAAATGAACAGCTAAGGTCATTGCTAACCAACTTCAAGGCTGCACNCCGAGTGCAAGACGCATGTTTGCAAGGTGAAAACGTATACTCAAGTCTGGAGCCAAAGTTTGCATGCGGATCTTTTGTAAATATCGATTTCCTTCTAGAGATCAAAAGCAAGCCCAATTTGACCTGCATGGTGTTTTTTTTCTGGACAAATGCTGTGAGAGATAATTTGAGAAAGTATTCATTTATTATTTTGCCTGCGAATTTTGAACAAGGGAAATGGCAGCAACTAATCGGTTTCAGAAAAAAGAAAAATCCGCCTTTTTTATTTCTTGCACGTGGGGGGGATTAAATAATAAAACCTTTTTTTCATTTTCTTAAGTCTTCAAGCAATGCTGTCAAAGAAGAACATGTGTGCCAAGTTTACAATTGACATGATGAGCTCAACATTGGGCATAGCAGCAAAACCCTGCATGAGTCTGATGTACTCAGATGTTGTCTCAATGGCTGCTGGCACTTGATCAAAATGGCCACTCTCAACAGCAGCAATGGAAGCCAAAGAAGCGGCTTTAGACTGTGAGAGATCACTGGCAAAAGAGCCAAGGTGCTCTTTGCATTCAGGGCAGGTGAAGTCCAGGATGTCATGCAGCTCTTTGACATTGGCAAGAGCTGCTGTGCACTTGGGACACTGGAACCCTCCTGAAAGCTGAGGAGGAGCTGAGGGGTCAGGAAAGGCACTTTCAACCACTCCTGGCCACATGGGCATCTTCTGAACCAGGCCACTAGATGAAAAAGAAAAAAAAATCAAGTTCAGAAATGTCAAAATCAAAATTTTGTGTTTCTTAGAAAATAAGACCTAAATTTTCATTGAACCCAACTCTTTGAACATTGGATCAAATACCAGCCTGTGCCCTTGGGTAAGTCTTGCACTTACAATTTTGGGTTTAAAATTGGAGAAAATTCAATTCTTGATGAGTGCATGCCCACATGATGTGCTATTGAAACCATATAAAAACAAATAACATGAATTGTTGACCTGAATTGAAAGTAGGTATATAAGTGGCTTTTAACTGTGTCAGAATTTCCCTCAGTTTCATTAGTTTTCAACAATCACTTTGGCTAAAAGCAATTTACTATATTATGATCTATATATGAAGTGTTGGTAGCAATATGCATGCAAGTTCTGAATAACCATCTTCCTAAAAATTGCACAGTATTGGCAACATTATCCCTTTATTATATAAGTCTTGCACCTTCAATTCAAAGCTTAAAATTTGGATAAAAGCCTTTTCTTGAGCAATAAATGACCCAAGTTTTCTTGCTGAAAAATTGGAACTCATCAAAAAACCTATCAAAATTTTAATATGATCTGGAATTGAAACTGCATTAAATTGCTTTTAAATCAAATTCAGTGACTTGAAAGTTTCAAATTTGCAATAAGGTCAGTATTTTAGAATATGCTCACTTTCAAAAAATTTATTTCAACTAAATGAAAGAAGTTGCTTACTCTTTATGCTAAAAAGGGTACTTCCTGGTAAATCTTTAATTTACATATGGAAACCATATTTAAGAAAGACTTCTAATTCTTTAAAAGCAGGATTGGAAGATGAGCAAAAATTTAATCTCACTGCATCTCAATGGGATCCAGTTGGATAAGTTTGTCTTCCAGAAGGTAAAACTGGTTGTTTTGAGAATAAGCAGCGACATCTGAGCCAGCAACTGGCCTCACTTCACTTGCCAAAACCCCAGCATAGGGTTCTGTGACCTTGTTTTCAACCACTACAAAACATACAAGACTTTTGTCAACAACAAAAATCTTGGGGAAAAAAAGCATGTGAAACGCACGGCCTTCAGGAGATTCTTCTTCAGATTCAGGTTCTGACTCCTCAGAATCAGATTCCTTGCATTCTGTAGAAACTGTGTAATCAGAGTCTTCCCCAGCTTCATTAGTTTCACTCTTGAATGTTTTCTCAGTCATGAAGTTCTTCAGAGATCCCCAGTGTCCAACACATGCTTTACAGTTACACGTGAAATGGAAGCCATTTTCCAAAAAGTCTTGCCTCCTGGCAAGGTTATCAGAATGGAAGGAAACCCCATAGGAAACAGTTGCAGCTTCACCAGGATTGATGACTTGATTAGCCCTCACAATCAAAGTCCCATTGACAAAGTAATGAGTGAGGTTGGGGAAACATGAGTGATTAAGGTAGCAACCAGCATTGTACAAGTTTGTGGCAACAGGTTGGGTACTTGCCTGTGGAAAAAGGCATTTCTTCTTGGAAAATATTCAAAATAAAAAATATGCAGTCTTGACTCACAATGTATGGAGGTTCTTCAGAAAGGACAACTTCAGATGATGTGAAATAATTGCACAAGAATGACAGCATGTTCTGATACAACAATGTCCCAACAAACAGTTGCACCTCATCAGTGTTATGTTCCTTGAAGTAGCCAGAATGTAGGTCTGTGAACCAGTTCTTTCGACGTCTAAACCGTCAGACCTCAAAAACTACTCCTAAGTAGAGTCGTAACACACACTCGTCCAGTTTACTTGTCGATTCCAGTAACGATTGGTTGAAGTTCCGACGTGCTTTCTTTGTTCTTGAATCCTTTGGAACAAATATATTTTCCATCAATTCGATACAATATGGTGTTCCAAAAAACATCTGCCAATTATATTGGTTCATAAAATTAAGTTTTCATTGTCATAATTATAAGTGCTGTACTGTCCTACTGTATTTTCATTTAATTTTACAGTAATAGTATTGTGCATTAAAAATTCTCTGGGGACCTTTGGACAATTTCATATGAAACATGTTGAGGTTCATTACGCTGTATGTATAACATTTTGCAAGGGTTTTCAGCACAGGTGCTAGGTGTGGTACCTTGCAATTCAACCCTAATCCAATGCTGAACTGGGGTCAAATTTCAAAGCAGATGAATAACAAGGAGCTGTATAAAATTAAGTAAGAGTTGCACAAAAACACTGTATATGAGGCAGGCCAATTGTGAGTCAAATTTCTAGGAAATTTTTCTGTTGAATTGCAGGATGGCGGCAAGGTACCACCTGTACAGTATTTTTTATTTATCACATACCAAAGAGTAATATTAAAGCAAGTAATTTTATTTTAAAGGAAGTACTGTAGTAGGGTTTTGGAATTTCATTCATATGAGGTTCTGCTTGTAGTTTGGTTTGCTGTTCATGACCAATGTGTAATTTTGTAGAAAATGGATATTTAGACTATGCATGCATATTCCAACCAACAATTTGTACTTCATTTTTGGAATTTCATTCATATGAGGTTCTGCTTGTAGTTTGGTTTGCTGTTCATGACCAATGTGTAATTTTGTAGAAAATGGATATTTAGACTATGCATGCATATTCCAACCAACAATTTGTACTTCATTGTTTAATAAACTGCTTTCAGCCCAATGAAATGGATGTTGTACAAATGTTCATATCTATAGATGGTATCTTGGGCATTGTATCCTCTCCTATAGATTCCAGCACCAGTTCTCAGGACTTATGCATCTATGCTTTCTTACTTCTTGCTTGAATGACTTCATAATTTCAGGTTTCCACGTCAGTAGCTGCTCAATAGGGTGCTGGACAATCATCTTGTAAGCCAGAAGAGCTCCATCTGCATTCCCAAACTGATAAAGTTCAATCATGTGACTGCACTGAACTGAGTGGTACTTCATTCCTTTTTCCAAGCAGGTATCACTACAAAAGGTCACCTGCAAAAAAATATTAACTATAAATCCTGAAAATCATAACCCTGAAAAAATGATTATTTTACCAGGTTGCAGGTTTGACAAGGAAGCCCAGCAATGGCCTTTTTGGTGCAGTGAAATTTTGGAATTTCATTCATATGAGGTTCTGCTTGTAGTTTGGTTTGCTGTTCATGACCAATGTGTAATTTTGTAGAAAATGGATATTTAGACTATGCATGCATATTCCAACCAACAATTTGTACTTCATAGTTTAGTAAACTGCTTTCAGCCCAATAAAATGGATGTTGTACAAATGCTCATATCTATGTGATCAGTGATAGATGGTATCTTGGGAATTGTATCCTCTCCTACATTACAGCACCAGTTCTCAGGACTTGCATCTATGCTTTCTTACTTCTTGCTTGAATGACTTCATAATTTGAGGTTTCCACATCAGTAGCTGCTCAATAGGGTGCTGGACAATCATCTTGTAAGCCAGAAGAGCTCCATCTGCATTCCCAAATTGATAAAGTTCAATCATGTGACTGCACTGAACTGAGTGGTACTTCATTCCTTTTTCCAAGCAGGCATCACTGCAAAAGGTCACCTGCAAAAAAATATTAACTATAAATCCTGAAAATCATAACCCTGAAAAAATGATTATTTTACCAGGTTGCAGGTTTGACAAGGAAGCCCAGCAATGGCCTTTTTGGTGCAGTGAAAGCAGTGAGACTTCCACTTGTCTGTGTACAAGGCTGAACCAACTGGTGTTTCCACAATCACCAGTTCCCCTGGCAGGATTTTCCGGGTTGCCTCAAAGTAGTACCCTTCTTCTTGGGTATATGTCAGATGTAGAGCATTGGAAGCACTGGGAATCCTGGGATTTTTGGGGCCAGTAATTTGAGGTACTCCTTGCCTTGATGTAAGTGCTGGAGGACCCATTAATTCCTATTTTTTTGAAAAGCACAAATGGAACACTTATTCAAGGTAACGCTTGTTCATCAGGGATTCCTTCTATTAGCTTATTTATTTGATCATACAATAAAAATATTTTAAAACAAATTGGGACTAAATTAGACTATATTGAATGAATGAATGAACAGAACACTTATTAATTATTTGCCGCTTTTCAGCATTCACAAGGCACAACCAAGACTCCTGCATCCAAACCCACTCCCCACCCAACCCAACTCCCCAAAGACATTCAATCACTTCAAAGCATGAAGCAAAGCACAAAACAATGACAAAAACAAAAGAGAACACACTCCACAAAATAAAACTGGACATCCTACATGTATGCCGCATACACCCATACATTCATGTGTTCACATACACTATATTCATTCATATGTTTAGCACTGATGCGGTGACAAAGGCTCACCAAGTTATTGGACATGGTTAGACTGGGTAAAGATTGTGATGCATACTTATGTTTGGCTGAGGTCTAGTGTATTGCATAATGTTTTGATGCAGATATTTATACACCATTAGTACTTCAATAAATGCTGGGTGTCCAATAGATGGTGGTCTCTAATAAATTTCAGATCTCAAGGTTAGTTCAAGGGAATAGCTTCTAGCCTCTAATAGTGGAGAGATCAAAGAAATGGGGGGAGGGGTAAAAATTTTTGTCATATAAAAAATCAAGGGGAAATCAAAGTTTGTTTCCTATTTTCCCCTTGCACTCCCCATTTTTCTTTTCATCCTGTTCCACAGTTGCAACTGTTCACCAGTCTATAATAGATGCCACTCTCTATAGTGAAGGCCAGGGGAAAATACTGAATAAAATTGTAAGAAGACACCAAAGCATTTATTGAAAGCATATATGGTATGTAAGTTCATGCTGTGGTTCATCAAAAAGTATGCACACATGATGAGTTCAATTCAATCATTGTATATGTTGCTAGTGTACAAGAAATAAGCATCAGAATAACAAACCTTTCTTTTCAGCTTGGGACCAACTTTCTTGAAGGAATTCAGTGTGTGTGTCAGCTGGTCAACTTGTTGTTCAAATTCATAATCCCTGAGCTTCTCTTCATTTTTGGCCAGGCAATCAAGAACAGATCTAACTGTTTCCATAGGTACTTTCTGAACCAATGCCAATTCTGCATCCCTTTTTGCCAGTTGATATTCTCCACTGAGAAACAGTGTTCTGGCCCTATAGATGATTCACAATGAAAATCACATTTTTTAATTTAACATCTGCTGGAAATGAGGTGATTAACCTTGCAGCATAGGCTTCACCAAGCAACTCAGACCACTGTTTGCAGTTCCTCACAGCAGAGTTCAGAATCTCCAATGAGTCTGCAAAATATTCAGCCTGCTGAAGCACCAATCCCTGGGCAATGGCATCCTTGGCCTCAACTTCATCCTTCCCCACACAGCCTAATTCAGGGACAAAGTCCTCAAGGAATGGCAACTTGTAAATACTCTCAAATTCAGCCTGCAAGGAGTTTGTGCTGAAAAACACCTCAGTCACATCCAGACTGTCCAAGAGCTCCAAGAACTTGTCCAGACTTGAGGGTCGCGGGAAACTGTCAATGGTTTCAACCTGAAAAAAAAATCTAAGAAGTTTTAGCTTGCGATTTCATACATTACATCATGGGTATAGTCACTGACATCGTCCCACTCCATGGTAGCAATTTCCTCATCCGCCATTTCAAATTAGGAGTAGATAAAGAGAATAAGGTTTTCAGGTAGCCTCAGAAAAGCGTTTGGTGCTTTATTCACAGACCTTCTTTGGTCGTTAATTAGGATTGGATTATTGTATTTGGATCCAGTGTATGGTGTTATATGTAGTGCAAAAACTTATTTTTAGTTATTTTTCATCCACGAGAAAGATGCATTCTTTCATAATCCCATGACTCTTAGGATTTACAAATTCAGAAAAAATTATCCATATTTGTGGACATACATAAATATGTACATATACAGTAAAGCTGCGCAAGAATCTTTTTATGCTATAGTTTTATTTCCTCCAGTATTTTTTGCTAGCAAAATTTACATGCATATTACAAGTTGAACTATATACAACCATGATACATGCTTTCTTAGGACTTTTATGCATTAGAGGCTTTCACTGGAAAAAAAAAAAAAAAACTAGCCCAGCTCAACTAATCAGCCCTTATATAATGGCTGAACTGAGACAAATAATTATAACTCTAACCAAACAGACTTTTCCAGTCACTGAAACCTATTCTAGCCCTTGGGCGGCAAAGTCAGACTATTTTCACAAAATTTTGTTACACCTCAGGGCAGAAAATAAAAAAGGACAACAGGGATTTGAGGACAAAGTTGGGGAAAACTCCGATGTTTTTTTTCTTTTTGCACAGACAAATTTTGTGGGAAAATGAAAAAAATGCTATGCTAAGCAATGGGCTTTTCTTGGATTAATCTGGACTTTGCCTGAGCCCACCTGGAAGGTCTTTTCTGACCTTCAGAAAACTTAAAACACCCCAGCATACAAAAATAATCTGATTTTGGCCGGCAATGGGAAAGAACCCTCCGCTGTCCAAGGGCTAAGGACAATTCTGAAAAAGTGGCACATATCCCTTGCACCTGAAATAATATATATGTACAGGTGAACTCTCTTTGCAATGATCTTGTATACAATAATTTTCTCTGTGATCAAACTTTTTCTGGTCTTTTAGGGTCTTCTCCCATTGTTATAAGGGATTGTTAACAAAATTCTGTTCACAACAATTTTCTAGCCCCTTAAATTTTGCAGGAAGAACTGCTGCAACCAAGTGAGAAAGTTTTCTGAAGCAAAGTTTTCTGCAGGATTATAAGAAACAATATTGAACTTTTTCCGAACTTGGGCCTTTTTTCAAGAAGACAATTGTTCAAACATGCACAAAATTTTGTGAAAATACACAAAATTTGCAGCACAGGGATAGCACTTTATGCAGCCACTAAAAATGTCCCCCACCTAAGCAAGCACCTTATGCTAATCAAAATGCTAACTTCCTAACCTACAGAAAACCAAAAATTCAAACATGGGAAGAATATCCTACTCAAACCCCCAACTTTAGCCTATATTCCCTATAGCATTTAACTTTATCCAACTTACAATCTGACAACACTTCAGATGCCAAAATAGCATTTATTGCTCTTTCTAACATTTATTTTTCCTGTGAAAAACCTTTCCAATTTATAAGTGGAGGCTGCTGTCCCAGTGTCTGCAAAATTCTAAGCCAAACTAAACGCGTCATCGCGGAGTATTATTAATGCGCCTGTCTATCTCATCTCGCAACCGGACACCACTGGCGTGATATTCCATCCTGGGTGGGAGCTGTGTACAGCCAACCATCCAACATTCTCAGGCCGTAAGCTGAAACTTCTCCCTCTGCTGCAAGCTCAGTGTGCTATATGCTGTCTGGAAATTGCTGGAAACACTTGTAAATGCGCACAATTGGACACTGTTTTTATTTTGGTAATGAGTTGGGAAATATTATGAAACTTATGCCTAATGAATATAAACCTATGATCTTACTCTTACCTCTTGCTGCCTTGAGGCAAAGTTGGGATTTTTCCAGGGGGGGGCAGGGGCATTTCATTTTGACCAAAGGTCACTGAAATGCCCACAGGTTGGCAAAGCCTAGGTCAGAAAAAATCTGGGTACCAAAAATCCCATTGCCTCAAGAAATACCCAATGTTGATCCTATGCTGAAAAAATGCATGAAAAAAATGCCACCCATGGGAGGATTTTTTTTTAGTCTTGAGCCAACGCTTTCTGCAGGATTATAATAGAATATTGAAAAATTTTCTGACTTAGGCCAAGGTTTAAAAATCATATTTGTTAATTTGCAACCCTTGTGTGGACATAATTGTGCAAAATATCTAAACTTTGCTGCACAAGAGTTTATTCTCCTGCCCCTGTGTTTAATAAAAGAATAGTATAACTTTATTTTATTTCTGTTGCAGTTTAGATTGAGGCAGGCTTCATATTCAAGACCACCAGACAACACTTGAAATTATTAGGGAAGTTTTTGCAAATTCATCTTTACCGGATACTTATTCTGCTTATTTCCCTACACAAACCTTGTAAATAAATGCCAGACAACCGTTTTGGGTGCATTTTGGAGAGGAATTCATAAATCAAAAGGATTGCTTAAAGTTTATACAAAAGCCTGCATTTTAATTTCCTCTCCTAGAAATTGCAAGATGTTCAAGTTATGTATAATTGAAATAAGACTACATCAGGTTGGTTCATTTTTATAATTTCAGGCAAGGGCTGATAAGGCAAAAAAAATTCTCCCTATATACCTTCCCTTTTTGCCACTTTAAAAAAGGGCTACTATTGTATTAAATCATTTCTGAGATGCCCAACACCCTTTGAATACAGGTTGGTTTAAATGGACACCAGGTATTTTTTAGAGCATATTCAGTATACCTCCATTTTCAAAAATCTTAGAAGTTGCTTTTTCAATTTTTATTTATGTATGGGTCACAAATCCATGGAAAACGTATTGCTTTTCATTTGTATAGACAAGCCCTGTGTTAAATCAGAGGTTTTTAGTGCCATATGCATCAGTTCATTGTCAGAAAAATATCTTTTAAATCTTGAATGATTGATCAAGTTGTTTTTTTCTTTAACTTGGAGGATGATGCACCATATCCATTGCGTTTTTAATGACATAACTCAATTTTAAAAATCACACTAACCCATTATATATAAAAGTTATTTTCATTTTTCATTATCAAAGTGTCCTCTTTATTAAACATCCATTTTTTTCCATGTCTGAATTCTGTACATCTAGAAAAAAAGGGCTACCAGCAAGCAAGCAAACGAACATAACCCTCAAAGTTATTTCCGTTTCAGACAGGAAATGGTAAAAGTAATGCAGAATAAAAATGTAAAAGAAATTTTTTTTGCGTAGGAGTGTGGAACCGCGGAAGAACGTCGGTTTGACCGCAGGGTAGGGTTTCTTTCAGCTCCACTCCTCCAACGCTGTCCCGGGTTCGGGTTGCCCACATACAGGATCCCATTGCACCCACACACACACACACATACATGCAAAAGGTACCCTCTTGGTTGCCCTCGAAACCCAGGAATGCATCCCGGAACAGTTTCCCTGGTCCCAAGAAAAAAAAAAAAAATGAATTCAATCCGAAGAGTAAACGCTCATTTAAAAAAGAGCGTCTACCTGTCTATAATTCATAACAAAAACGAACCGATGTCTCGAAATTTGAAGCATCTCAAAATGAAGCTTTCATTAATTTTCAAATCTACAAATTGGGGTTATTTCTGAATCAATTCATTTCGCCACGACCGACTCGTCAAATTTTTTCAGACGAATTTTTAATATTCCATATTTTTTTCATTTTATTCCTAGATTCATTTGATGATAACAGGAAATTATTTAAAAGCATACGTGTTCATAAAATGTTGTATATTTCGTCTTTTATCAATCTTTACAACGGGAAATTCCTACAAAAGGCGTAAATAACCCAAATAATATCAGAAAAACCATGTCCCAAGGATATAAAAAATGTTTAACGCTGTGATACGTTATTCGTCGCTTCCTCTGAAATTTTTGGCTAATTTAATTCGTTTTTGAGTTCTGAAATTAATGGTCAATTATCAGTATAATAAAATAAATCTCTCATATTGCGTCATGAGTTTGCATTGCTTGAAATATTCAATTTATGTAGAACATCCTCTGAGTTCCTCAACCAAAAATAGAACCCATGAAAGAAAATGTTTCTTCAATGATACCCTAAAACCGGTTTTGACCAAACAGATGAAAATACTTGCAGTAAATTGGAGTACCAAAGATGCCAGGTTATTGGTAACTGTACATGGAAAATAAGGCTTTCTTTCTGTATATAAGCAACAAGGATTGGATTCTTGATGCTCCAGGACCGGTTTTTTTTGTCCTCTATGACTGATAATTTGGACCAGTGATGGGAATTAGGCTTTGCATGCATTGATTTATTGAGAATGTCTGTAAACAGAAATATACTTCATAAATAATGCTGGGATCACTAGTTAAAAAATTCTCTGAGGGTTCAATGTTAAAGCATTCTGTATTCATTCCTTGGAGATTAAATTCTTCCCAAATTCAGTATAGTTTTTTTCCCCCCATTGAGTGCATCATAGACGCTATTCTTCCTCAGGGAAGCCAAATTGTAAGATCTGAGCAAAGAAGAGCAGTATAGAAGCCCCCTACTTGAAAAATTATGGCCAATCTTATGTGATTTCCAGTCAAGAGTTGTGTAAGGCAGTGTTAACAAAACTTCTTGGACACATGGACCAGAAAATTTGCATGACATTTTTTGCAGACTGGCAAATTTCCAATACGTTTTCTGCAGACTGGCAAAGTTTGGTGAAATTTCTGCTGACACACAAAAGTTTTGCTTGGAAGACTTTATGGCAGGTGATAAAAGTTTCTGAATTTATGCAAAAATTGAGTAAAGCACCAATGAAGCAGCTATAGCTGAATGTCATCAAATATTATAAAAGTGGGCTGGTGGAAAGGTTTCTCAGAATTAAGAATTAAAATTATTCATTTCTGAATGTGAAAATTTGTATGGTGTGTTATTAGGAAAAAAGCAAACTTTGTTTTCATCAAATAATTTCAAGTGGAATTGTCCTTCTGGAATTTTAGTTAGAGTTAAAGGACTTTATTACTACTTTTAATAAATTTATTCAGCTGAAATGTTCCACAGACTGGCATCACTCCACTGACCATGTGTTGGGGAACATGCACAGGTCAAAGGTATTCTTATCTGTGTGAAAAGTTTTAGAACAAAATTAATCAAATTTGTCTAAAAATTCTGAAATATGCCTGCTTTTCAAGGTCTAACAAACAAGTCTCCATGGGCATCTGCAGAGAAAAGCTGATTTGTTTCTCAAATACAATTAACCCCTGCACAGCAGACTTAATTTGTGCAACAGACTAGTCTGTTATGTTAAACACCTGTTATGCAAATTCAACCACTAAAAATATTTTTTTTTACTTTTCACCATCAATTTTAAACCAACAGAAGTCTGCTAATCAGATTTTGTTCTTCAGGCTGGAGGAAAACAGTCTCCAAAAACAGTCTGTTAGGCAAAAATCCCTTAGGCAGGAGGTTTGTTATAGGCAGGGGCTGACTGTGCAACTCAAGGGAAATCATGTTTTTTTTCAACAAAATTTTTCCAAAGCAAAACTGATGTGAGAAAGAACTAATTGTTTCCTAAAATCCCAGAGAATTAATTTTATATTTATTTCTAATTTACAGTAAAAAAAAACAAATTGAAGCCTCCTATCGTAATATACAATCAATCACAGTGAATCTAGATAAACTATCTATACCAATGTCTGCTTGGTGTCTCAAAAATAATCTGAAGCTCACACACATTAGCGACAACCGCGCAATGACCAGCTGCCGCGAGAGACTCAACCTGTTGGCAGCCCAAACTCATGCTTCCGCTTAGTTCACCTCTACCTTTCTTCGTGAGCAGACGTGTCGAACGCTTGTGCGAAAAATTTCCGCAACTGTGAAAAGTTTGAGGAAAAAAAACACCATGTTTTCAATTTGAAAGTTGTTCATTGCAAGAAAGTGTGAATAAGGCACCTCTTGGAAAAACGCAAGAATGATCTAAGCTGAAAATAAATTCCGGACAGCGTGAAAGAATTTTTTTAATGATTTCAGAAATCTCCTACTTCAAAAAATGGGGGCATTAGTTAATAGCTTTTGTTTTTTATTTGAAGTTTGGCGTTTTTATATGTTGACTATTTTGACACTGTAATACATATTATATTTGGGTTTGTGCATATGTATCTGCATCCATTTTCTAAAATATCAGTGGACTCAGATTCAAATCAAGAGAAATACTGATTCAAGTTATGAATGATAGGGTTTTGAAATAATTTGGTGAAGCAAAAATGCAGTTCTCATAATTTTTAATTAACCAGCATGAGTTTCTGAAATATTATTAAGGAATTGTGAAATTATTTCAGGACAGGAGTGAATGCATTTTTCTGATGTTTGCCACACATGTCACAAGTTGTTTTCCTGAGAAATTGTGTGCATAATAAGTGTTACGGGTTCATATTGGATCCCAGACAAAGGAATTGAATTGTGCAGCAGTCATCAGAATGCAAGTTTTGAATAAGAACTCAAACTCTTTTCGGAGGAGTTCATTCTCATTGCCCATATCCTCATTTGGCGTTTAATGAAATGGTTGTTCAGAATGGCAGCGTCAATTGTAAGATTGGTTGGTTAGCTCAGAAGAATGAATGAGGTAATTCAAGTTAAAAGGCCCTTTAACACAAGATTCTTGCATCTCCTCTCAAAGAGGAATGAAGGCTTTTTTTTATACCCAGGTGCTTGGACTGGGCAAAGAATAAATCAGGTGATTTCTTTCTGGCTCAGGATTGACCAATTTTAGGAAAATCAAAGAAGTGATGACCACTTCTTGGCCTTGAATGAGGCTCAAAAAGTCTTCTAAAAATGGGATTTTGGCAAGGCTCACTGGCCTCAAGATCCAACAAGTTTTCTGGGCTGGTTTTGGCCAGATGCTAGAGCTGCGCTAATTTGGGATGTGACAATATGATAATTATAAATATTCTTTTTAATGCTTCACCTTGTGTTGCAAATTAGTAATCAGAGATTTCTCTTCTGGACACTCAGAAATATTCCCGTGCTGGTCAACAAAGTGCGTGAATGCGATTCAGCAGCAGCTGCTTTTGGTCGCCAAAAAGCGAAAACCATTTTTTTACAAATATAAAAACAAAAATTATTTTAAAATTGAATGGCATTGTCTGTGGATCGTCGATCTGCAATAATTGCGACGCGAAACACTGACGACATGAAAGCAGTCAAATCAGAGCCCGACGTCGACTCATCCCAAGCAGAGTCTCCATCAGCACCCGATGTTCGCATAATCGTGCCAAATTCGCTCCAGAATCGCAAACGTCGATTCATCAATCGTCAGGCCCGTAGACGGTGCAAATTGCGAGTCGTCGAGGCGTCTGACACTGATTCCGACGCGGAATCAGTGTTGCCAAATAAGGTGTCGATGCCGACGAGACGGAAGAAGCTGACGTCGCGTTTATTGAGGCGATCCTCTGGTGCTGGGATCAGCAGCAATAATAGGGATTCGGGGATGACTGACCCGGGTTTCACTGGACGAGGTCGACGGTCTTCGAGTTCAGATGGCAGCTCTAGTCGGGCTTCCAGTCCTGAAGATGACCCAGATAGTGAGTTATTTTTCACATTCTTTATACTGTTAGCAAACCTCTCTAAGTCGGATTTCAAAGGACCAGCCAAAAGTTAAAATTAGAGAGGTTTTGAGTTGGGGAAAGAAGCCTTTTTGTATGTGGGATACATATACTGTACAAGAATTGCAGGAAATTTAAAAAATGGCCTTGAATTCCTCTAAACACTTGTGCAGAAAAGTCAAAATATTTTTTCAAAATTGTGTACCCATGAGCACTGAAAATTTTAAAATTTATATTTTTGCACCAAGGCATAAGTTGGGAAAAGTCTGATATTTTTTTAATCCTGCAGAAAAATTCCTCACTGGGTGGCTTTTTTCAGGAATTCCTTGCATATAGGCTCAAGATTAGAGATTTTGGAATACAATAGGATTCCTGTTTCCCAGATTTTTCCTGACTTAGGCCTTCCCAACCTGGATGCATTTCAGTGACCTTGGGTCAAACTTGAGATGCACTGCCACCAAAAAAAAAATCCCAAATTTGCTGCAGGATGGTCAGGAACCCTCTGCTGTCCAAGGGTTAAATGAGTTGACAGGATGCTGAACTTGGAGGCACGGGTTCATTTGCCAAATTTTTCTTTTTATTCCTTTCAAGGCACATCAAGTTAATTTTTAATTTCTTTTCTCTTTCATTTGTCAACAAAATAACATGCAAAAGGCCTCATCAAGTTTGAGTTATGGAGGTTTGAGAGAAAAAGCCCTCTAGTTAGAAAGGCTTTTTAATGCATTGTTTCCACAAGAATTCAGTTTGGGACCAAAAAAAATTTGACTGAAGGACAAGGTAGTCAACCTAGATAGGTTTGAGTTATTGGGGTTAAACTTTATATAGTTCATTGTCAGGAAAAAATTCAAACTTCAAGTAATTCTTGTAACAATTTAAGGCACCATACAAAATTAGCAGTTAATCTCTCAACGCATTTTTTTGTGAGCCTGATAACCAAACCCAGGTTTGGTTCCCAGGCTCACCCCAGGACAACTTCCTCATTTCTAAAAAGGGGAGAATGAAAGTGGCCAAAATCCGGCCTTCATCTCTCATCCAGAAAGTTGTAGTGGTCAACTAAAAACCACAAGTTTGTCACTCTGCGTTTTGCTGCTGACCTAGTTGGATCTCCGGAGAATCTGCTCTTGTGCAAAATTATCAATTCCAAAATCAGTTCTAACAGTTGTTGAACTCCTTGCAAAAAGTACTTCACGGATTGTCTTTTATTATCTTGTCTGTGCCAATAATATACCAGTTTATACTAGGACAAAAAGTCCCGGCCGCAGCCCAGCTGTTTAATTTGTGTTATTATTTCTGCTAATTGCAAAGTTCTTGTCTTGAATTTATTCGGGCTTCAAAGAATCCAAATTTCAACTTTCAAATCTTCAGACAGAGATCTTATCTTTTCTGCCTTTTGTGTAGAGGAAATAGTTTTCCCTCACATTCATTGCAAGAATACTCACATCACACAGGATGCTGCCATGATTGTCAAAGAGCCAAGTGCTGTAGGACAGCTGTGATATAGTTTTGAATCAGACCTTTCCTTGACAAAATCTTGGAAATTCAGCTTGACAAACTATTGGGGCTATTTTTGAAATTTCTAAAAATTCCACAGGATGAAACTGCAGGATTCGTAATTCATCTAAAGTTATTCATCTAATCCAATTCATCTAAAGACTTCTTCAATTATTTCATACTTGTCTGACAGTAAGGTATAGGCAGGTAGACTCTCTCTCTCTCTTTTTCTCTCTCTAAAAACCTTATATCTACAATAATTTTCTCTGTAAAAAAACATTTATTTTTAGGAAGAACCTCATAAGGTCCTCTCTACAAATGTTATCCTGGTACCCCATGACATATATTTTTGGGTCCTTTGAATTTTGTTGCAGAGAGAGTCCACTTGATCGGAAGTAATCACATAAAGACGTCAATATTTTTAATAAGTGTATTTATCCCTTCTGCCGTACGGTCTGTTTCGTAAAGAAATGGATAAATTAAGTGAAACTTAAATGGTACATCATGGTTTTTAACGAAAGTAAAGATTTTAGATTCCTATGATTACTATATTGTAAAATGCCAAAAAATGATTAGGATGGTAACCCTTTTGAGCACAAGATGCATATACTATAGGTACAGTGCTGTAGTTATATAAGTTCAATGTCTTCTAACTTCTCATAAGACCCTCGAAGTATCAAATGTGTTGAAGAAACTAATTCGGCTTCTGATTACTATAGACCAAAAATTGATAAAGTTCCACACACGTCTGTGAAAAACAGGAAAAATTAATTGAGTTCTGATTGGTCTGTCTGGGCTCATGAATTCCGTGTCGAAGTATATATAGAAAGCCACAGGTCGACCACATTTTACTTATTTACATACAGTATGTGCCATTTAATCCCCAAAAAAAGTTCGAATTTCAAGAATAGGAAAATGACTTGAATTCTCCCGCATTACAAAACAACAGGAACGCGATATGAGAACAAATTCTTTTTAATAGTGTATGTATGTGTGTGTGTGCGTGTGAAAGAAGGAATGAAAGAAAAGAAGAGAGATGAGGAAACAGGGGGGGGAATAGAACAGAACATGGATGAAGATCAGCTTTCCTTCATTTTGGTCTATCCGATGCCTTGGGAAACGCGGCGTTTAGGGTTTCTCTATACCATATACTACAACTGCACACAGGGAAAATTACTTTTCTGCAGTTATAAAAATTATTCACATAAATAGGGAAGACGGCATGCCAGACAAAGCATTTCTTTACCTATTTAATTCACTTTGAATTTACCATGTAGTACCAAAAATTGCTTTCATTTCTAAAATTATTCCTATGATTACTATATTGTGAAATGCCAAAAAATGATTAGGATGGTAACCCTTTTGAGTACAAGATGCATATACTATAGGTACAGTGCTGTAGTTATATAAGTTCAATGTCTTCCAACTCCTCATAAGACCCTCGAAGTGTCAAATGTGTTGAAGAAACTAATTCGGCTTCTGATTGATATAGACCAAAAATTAATAAATTTCCACACACGTCTGTGAAAAACAGGAAAAATTGATTGAGTTCTGATTGGTCTGTCTGGGCTCATGAATTCCGTGTTGAAGTGAATATATATAAAGCCACAGGTCGACCACATATACATACTTACATACAGTATGTGCCATTTAATCCCAGAATAAAAGTTCAAATTTCAAGAGAAGAAAATGACTTGAATTCTCCCGCATTACAAAACAACAGGAACGCGATATGAGAACAAATTCTTTTTAATAGTGCATGTATGTGTGTGTGTGTGTGAAAGACAGAATGAAAGAAAAGAAGAGAGATGAGGAAACAGGGGGAATAGAACAGAACATGGATGAAGATCAGCTTTCCTTCATTTTGGTCTATCCGATGCCTTGGGAAACGCGGCGTTTAGGGTTTCTCTATACCATATACTACAACTGCACACAGGGAAAATTACACTCGATATCCAACCACACACACACACACACACTGGACATTTGAGATGAGTGACTGAGACTTAGAAACGGCAAACCTTTTATTTCGAATTTTTCCTGCTCTCCTGCCAAAAGATTTTTCGAATTTAAATTTTTTTTTCAAGTTTATGAAAAATAAAATAATATTTGGGGATACAGACAATTTGAGTCAGGTACAGTTTTAGGCAGGGCCAAGTTGAGACAGATACATTACAAGGCAGGGTCACTTAAAAACAGGGACAATTAGAGACAGGGACTGTTGACAATAGGATTATTTGTACTTGTTTCTTGCTTTTTGGGCTTATTTTTGAACCAAAAGAGAATATTTTGTCAAGTTTGCCTCTGCCAGCATTTTGTCAAAAGGAAAAATTATAAAGAATTTTCTGATATATCTGATGTCCATTGCCATGTATTGCAGTAAATCACAATCTATTACAATAATGGAGCAAGAGAGGAATTAAAACAAGGAAAAGTTGGTTAAAAAAAAAGAAGCTTCCTAGCTGTTGTTTTACTTGGGCTAATTTTAATTTACTGTGCATACAGTCAAACCTCTCTAACTTGAATTTCAATAAAAGACTATCAAAAGTCCTTTGAGTTGGCAAGGTTTTGAATCAGACAGGTTTTTTACTTAGGGAGGTTTCAGCTTTGGAAACAAGCGTTTTTGTTGTGGAGAAAGTAGAAGAATTGCTGGAAAATGGAAATGATGATTTTCTAGACCTCTTGAATGAATTCACAAGGCACTAAACTTGGAGGCAGGGGTTAATTTGCCCAATTTAGTCTTTTAATTCCTTTCAAAATAGATCAAGTTACATTTATTATTACTTTTTTCTTTCATGTGATGAGAAAATAATTGCCAAACGGCATCAGAAAATTTGAGTTACAAAGGTTTGAGAGAAAAAATCTTTGAGTTAGAGAGGTTTTTAATGCATTGTTTCCATAAGAGAATTCAGACAGGGACTTGGAAAATATTTGACATATTCAGCTATTTGAATTTGAAAGGTTCAAGATACTGTACTGTACCAAGGTTTGACTGTATGTATACATGTATTTATATACATCATTTATTTATATAAAATGTATACAGCCAAGTCAAAATACCTCCCTGAATATAATTTCCACTTAATTTCTGGGCAAATCCCACAATTTTCTAATGAGATTTCAAAACATTTTATATTTTTTAATTGACTCAGAAGACCTGATTCTGCTGATGGAAACCAGAAAAAAACAGATCCCAATTATTTCATTTATGCT